CCCCCCCCCCCCCCCCCCCACACACACACACTCTCTAAAACATAAACCCCCATCCTTTTTTGCGGAGAAGAAAAAACAACGGGAAAAAGAAGAAGAGGCAGCCCAGGTTGGTTGTAGGAGCGCTGAGTGGTGCTAGCTAGATCTACATCGGTCAGGTTCCCACGGTCAGGCAGGTACAAGAGAAGGAGGGAATGGTGGGGGAGGGGGGGAGAAACAGGCAGAGACAAAACGGTGCCACAGACAGACAGAGACAGAGACAGAGATCTGGAAGATACACCTGGACAGGTGAATACCGCGCCCTCAAGCTCTCTCCGCTCTCCGCTCTTCCCACGGAGCCACTGATAGGTTACGCTAAACAATCCCACTTTTACTTTATGCTCCATCTTAATCAGTCGGCTAGCAGCGTCACACACAATTGCGAAGAGAACCAACCTTTTTTCGCGCGCTCATCACCTTATGCAGTTGTGAGCGCCGTGCTAAAACTCTTCTAAAACGAAATATACAGTTTGGATTAGCAGAGACGAGGCACAAAGGAGGTATTCCTTTGATGATAGGGTACCGCAATCTAAATGTACGGGTATTCATGTAAGCAGAAAGAGAAGTTGGAGGAAAGAGGGGGGGGGGGGGGTGTAAGTTATCAAAAGATTGAAACAGAAGAGTCCAAACAAAATCAGCGGAAGTCATTTAAGAAACCACGTGATCAACGCATGCGTGCACGCCATAAAAATACGTCACGAAAAGATGTTCTGAGGAAGATTTCTAGCACATCCAAAAGTACATTATGTATTTACACCCCCTGAAAGTCATCAAACGCATGAAATTCAAACTCTCTTGAAAACACGTCTCCATGCTGTTGTTGTCGTTGTTTAGTTGCTCGGCCCCTGCAAGGCTCTGTGGCACTGCCTTGTGGGAGCCGGTGTCACGGGAAGCCAGCAACATGTAAACTGTTGAGATAAGCTCTCCAGAGAGTTCTCTACGCTTAGTCCGGGAGTCGGGCCCAGGGGAGAAACAGTACACTGACCAGCACAAACACATCGATGGTTGGGACAGGTTGGGACTCAACAACGAGAGTAAACTTTGTCCTCTGAGAACATCCATCGATTGGATCTGTACCAAGGCTTTCTAGATCTGTACTCCTGGTCTTGTTGTTTTAATCATCGTCTGTGCAAACCCATTGTTTTATTCGGGGGG